AAATGGGACCACCAGGTCCTCAAGGAGCGTCTGGCGTACCAGGAACACCGGGTGATATCGGTGCACCTGGTGAAATGGGAAAAGAAGGTCCACCCGGAATGCCGGGTCCTGAAGGAAAGCCCGGTCCAGTTGGTTCACCCGGTCCACCTGGTCATCAAGGAGATCCTGGATTGCCTGGGACACCTGTAAGTTTTAACTTAGGAATTGAGTTTTGTGGTAAACTTTTGTGATATAGGTACATAGTGTCTAATCCTAAAGGCGGTAAAAGAAAATTAGTACTTAAGATGTAGCCTAGACTAATGTAGTCACAGAAATTATGGTAAAAAGTTCTATGAAAACAATGAGGTATTTTAACAAATCTGATGATTTTCTATAGGGATCACAAGGCGCAAAAGGAGATATGGGGCCACCGGGCCCTGCAGGTATTAGGGGCGACAAAGGAGAGCAAGGCGAACCCGGTCGAGAAGGTGCGCAAGGTCCTATGGGACGAGAAGGTCCCCGGGGTCCTCCTGGATCGGGTGGGCAAAAAGGAGAAATTGGTGAACCAGGACCGATTGGTATGTCATCTTTAATCACAGTACCTAAGTCCCTTAGTCGTTTTCTTTATTCATACAACATAACTACTAATGTGTTCTGCACTTTAACTATTCTGAAACTAATTCATTAGGTCCTGTTGGACGTGACGGTTTACCTGGCCCAAGAGGCTTGACGGGCGCACCAGGACCTGTAGGGCCGCCTGGAGAGGATGGGGACAAGGGTGAAGCCGGTCCACCTGGCGAAAAAGGTTTTAAGGGCGCAACCGGAGAACCAGTAAGAAGGCCGTTTAATTTTAGAACAATATTATGTATTAATAATTATGACCGGTAATCTTTATACGTAATATATGTATTTCATATCTTTATAGGGACTTCAAGGATCACCTGGCGTACAAGGCTTACGAGGCGAGACGGGTCCTGTGGGATTACCCGGAGAAAAGGGCCAACAAGGCGACCCGGGTTCACCCGGAACAAATGGTGCGGATGGAGCTAGAGGCCCTCAAGGTCCCCCTGGTCTAACAGGTCCTCAAGGTGAAAAGGGACAAGCAGGAATTAGAGGAGATAAGGGAGACAACGGGCCTATCGGTAAACTAAGTTTATTATTAAAGCTATTTTACAAATTGATGAAACTACTTGTTGCCGTCTGACGTTGTAATCTTTCACTAAGATGTGTCTATTCCATTTTCATTCAAATGCCTTTTTTATAAAAAATTATTGTAGGACCCACTGGTCCAGCGGGGCTTACCGGCCCTCAGGGTCGACGTGGCGCGAAAGGAATTCAAGGAGAGCCCGGGCCTCAAGGAGCGGAAGGTCAACGAGGTGAAATTGGTAATTCTGGCGCCCCTGGTCCACCAGGCCCTCCAGGCCCTGAAGGAAAACAGGTGAACATTAAATGCTTTCATTTTAAATTCAGCAGACATAAAGTGCTCTTAATACCCTACTAAGGTGACATTATTTTTTTCCATATCTAAGTTTATTTCTTGTTTACAACAATAATTATTGTTTAATATTTTTAAGGGACCAAGAGGTGCTGTTGGACCAAAAGGCGAAGATGGACCTCCAGGATTACAGGGCGAACCTGGACCAAAGGGGCCAGCCGGGTTAGAAGGACCTAAAGGGGACGCTGGCCCAGCAGGATACCCTGGAGAAAAAGGAGATCCAGGGCCGCAGGGAATTAAAGGAGAGCCGGGTGGGGAAGGTCCAGAAGGCAGCACAGGTCCACCCGGTGTACCAGGACCAACTGGGCCAGTTGGCAAGCCTGGAGATACAGGAATACCTGGCAGCCCTGTTAGTAGAATCTTAGTAGTGTTCTTGAAATTTCACTATAGCAGCTTATTTTTATTAATTTTAATTTTTCACAGGGAGCTGACGGACAGGCAGGTATACAAGGAAGTCCTGGCGTTCCGGGAGAGAAGGGCGACATGGGACCGAAGGGAGCAGTAGGTGAACCAGGGCCTGTCGGACCACCAGGACCACCAGGAGTTGAAGGTCAACGAGGTATCAGAGGAACGCCCGGTGCAAATGTAAGAAAATGTTAAGACAAATAACTTTGATTTTGACAGACTGTTTTAGAAATACATTGCATAATATTTTTTTAATAATAATGATAAATTCTCTGTTCTAGGGAGAAGTAGGCGCACCCGGTGTAATGGGGCCAGCAGGACCTCCGGGAAAACCTGGTCCATCTGGTGCGCCTGGCATTAGGGGCGACAAAGGAAACAGAGGCCCGAAAGGTCACACTGGTGAAACTGGAACGATGGGTGCAAAGGGGGACCAGGGCGAACAAGGCGTTCAGGGTCCACCGGGTCCTATAGGCCCGCCGGGACCGAAAGGAGATTTAGTAAGTTGTTAAATTATTTAATTTTAAGAAGTAACATTCTTTTTAGTCACGTTAATTAAATAAAATGTCTGAGTTACAGTAATATTGACTAAATATTAAAAAAAACATCTTATAGGGACCTATAGGTCCTCCGGGAGCTAAGGGTGAGATCGGACCCGTGGGCTTACCAGGCAGGGAAGGTCCCGTGGGTCCAAAGGGGCAAAGCGGCGTGGATGGTAGGCCGGGACTTCCGGGGCCGTCGGGTCCCCCAGGGCCACCGGGGCCGCCTGCACGCGCGCCGCATCTACCACCAGAAATGTTTACGTCATTCCGAAGACGCAGAAGTGTTGACATTGATTCAATACAATCCGAAGAAGGTAATTGACTTCGATAACCATGACTTAAGGATACAATAGTTTATTGAATTGAGTAAAAAATAAAGGGGATTGGACATATTCGTTGAGTTTAACCAGTTTCATAATTATTCCTTTCAGATGGAGATATAGATTGGGCGCATGAAATTATGAGTGGTGTGGTGGCGGCCCGAACTGCTTTGGAATCATCCAAGCGGCCGTGGGGAACACGTTCTAATCCAGCATTGTCATGCAAAGATTTACGCACCACACATACTAATTTAACTGACGGTAAGTCGCACAGATAAAATAATGATAAAAAATTCTTGAAAGTATCAGTTTTATTTAAGCTTACAATTTCCAGGTTTTTACTGGATTGATGCAAGAGGCGGCGGAGGCAGCGGCCATCCGATAAAAGTATATTGCAAGGGCCATTATACTTGCGTATATCCTGATGTCATAAATACAAATGAAATTTATACGACTTTTGATTCAGCTCAGAAGTTCTCACAAATCAATAACGGACATCGTGTTAGTATTTCTAGATACATAATTCTTTAATTTTATATATGATGTAATCGTATTCTATCGCGTTTGTGATATAAAGGCCATGTTATTTAAGCAGCTTATATACTATTTTTAATACAAACTAGTAAAGCTTTAACTTTTACTTTACAGATTTCATATGAAAACGAGGGAGCAGGGTCTATTCAACTTCGTTTCTTAAAATTGTTATCGCACGGTGCGCGCCAAAACTTTACATATTCATGTCTGGACGCAATGGCTCCACAACGGTAAATATCTTTCAATATTTAATATTAAGAAGTAATACAGAATTACACGCAAAAACCTCTATGAATAACACACGTATTCACGTATAGATTTCGCGTTAATAAAACATTACTGTTGATAAATCCAGGTCTGACATCCCGCCAGATTTGATTCGGACAAATGGTATTAAGTTGTATGGATATAATTCGGCAGAATTCAAAGAACCTCAGCTAATAAAGGATGATTGTAAAGTAAGTCAAATTAATAAATAATACCCTAAACCCTATCCAAAACCTAATCATTCTTAATTTATAATTTAAGCTTACTCTATTTAGTTAATTTAATTTGAAATTAAACCATAATTCAATTTTAATTAAAAATTTCTTTTCCTTCAATATTTTCATTGATTTACCGTAAGTTTTTGAGACCAAAATCCCCGTTTACAAACATATTATTATCTCTGTTATGTCAAAGATAATGACAGGGATAACGATATATTTTATACAGAGATTTTGGTCACAGAAACCCATGGCAACGTTCATTGGTAACTTACAAAATTGTTGGTACACATATTTTTATAATGTCTTATATTACAGGAAGGAAAAGGAGAGATTGTGCTAGAAATCAAGACATCTCGTACCGAACGCTTGCCAATCAGCGATTTCCAGCCGCTGTCATATGTCGAAGCTTCACATCAGTTTTCATTTGTAGTCGGGCCGATTTGTTTCTCATAGCTGGCTTTTATATCCTAGAGATAATGCAATTATGTACTTAAGTTGGACTATTTTTGTAAATATAGTATTTAAATAAATTTTGTGACGACTGTACCAGACTTTTATTGACAAATAAATACGAATTACACATACTCTTGTATATTTCTGCGACAGTCAAGAATTAAAAAAGCCAAATAAAAGAGTTCCACTCGTATTACTACCATAATTTTCTATCCATCAAAAACAATTTTTCATTTTTAAAGTTAACCTATTTCTAATGTGACCATTTATTTTTATGGCATAACAGGCCGTCTGCGAAAATTATATGAAAAAAAAAGTTTTTTGTTATGGGACTTAAAACACAAAATAATCAGAGCATTCTCTTTGGCAATAAACATAAAATAATTAAATAGACACGAATTAGTAAGCCATAGTGGCATGACTTGTATATTTTTGTATTCAACTTTTAAACAAAGTTTATATTTCATTTTTTAAATTGGTATTAAAACAATAATTATACATTTTACAAATATAAATTTATCTTATATCTGCATCATTTACTTTCTATTATATACATGTAGTTATAGAAAAAAATGCTTAACTTTATTGAAAAGGTTAAAAAAATATAAGGGATTAGAAACAAAAGAAAAAAACATGCTTCTTTATTTTTGGCTTCGGCACGGTTTGTGCATTAGCCAGAGTCAGGTAAAAATCATGCTTAAAGATAAAAAAAAATGTATGCATTTAAAATAAAGCAAACAAAAAAAGGATTTAGGACAAAAGAAAAAACCAAATTGATATTGTGTATTTATTCATATTTTTAATATTTCGGTATGAATTTCTAAGAGCAACAAGCAATGTATTGGAATAATTTCCTTTCTAGAAGTTTAAAAGAAGAAAATATGAAACATGCGACAAAAATTTACTTCTCTTTGCATAATTAATTTAAAATATAGCTTTTTAAAATTAAGTTATGATTTAAAAACTTCTATGACCGACGTGCAATTTACCTTTTTTTAAAGCCTAATACTTTCTATTGATTTTTTTATCACATTTTTTTCTTTAATAATGCTGTCACTTAAGAATTATAGGTTATACATAAATATAAATCAAAACCTTTCTATGTTCTTTACTTTTTTGATACAATCGCGTTTATTAATCTGCAAAGTCTTCTTCGTGGGTTCCAGGTGTTGATTTTCAGCAGCCACTCAAGCAAAACTGGATTGAGACATGAGTTTAATAAATTAGTACATTTGTGTGAAATGAAACAAAGTACTGGGCATTGATTTCTTGTGCTTTAGGCTTATTTTCTCATGTTTATGTTCTTTTTTCCCCGATTTACGTATAAATGTTGTTCCTTAGAGGCCACTATCGTATGTTACGCCACGCTAAAGACCCCACTATTTTTTTCGAGTAGGTTAATCTGTCTGCAATTCGAAACACGGAAGGATTGATCTGTAAGTTTTTCTTAATTTTTAAGAGGATTATTTCATGAGATGTAAATATAAATAAAAAACATCTGATTTACACCAAATGTATTAAAAAAAAGAGCGTACCTGTGTACTTATAAATTCGTACAGTTCATACATATTTTAAAAACACATGTTTGTTGTAATTTTTAACTTTAAAAGATCAAGTATCCGATATAAAAAATGAAGAAAGCAATAAAATCATTCAATATGTCTTTACTCTTAAACACTTAAAACTTAAAATCTCACTAAATTATGCGAACCTACCTACTTAAAATTAATTACAGACACGAATCATTATAGCACAATATTTACTGTTACATCTCATTCATGACAAAAATGCATCGTAAAAAACTTATATGTTATTTATTATTCACGTAGGTGGATTGAATAATTTATGGAGCATCATTTCTACCATGTTAAAAGTATGTTCTAAAGCCAGAGACTTTTGCTCAGAAGGGGAATTATGTTCATTTGAACTACTTACATTGTTATTTACCCCGCTCGTAGAAGGTTCTGGCTTTTCCAGAGTGCATGGTGACATTGTATCTGTGTCGTCTTCCCCTGACTTTGGTTCTTCACCCACTTCCACTGTTACTGGTTCTACGTCCTCGTCAAATGTTATAGGTTCTTCATTCATTGCCAGTTTTTTTTGATCTTCGCTAGTTCTTTGGTTCATTATCTCCCCTCTCTCTTCCGGTGTTTTTGATTCTCCGTTTTCTTTATTTGTTTCTCCTTCCATACTATCTTCCAGTAACAATGTTTCCCAACTTTTATTCAGTGTCGATTCGCGACCACTTTCCAGTGTTACTGTTTCACCAATTTCTTCAAGTGTTTTTGTTTCGCTATTGTCTTCCAGTAAAACTGATTCCCAACTTTTATCCAGTATCTTTGGTTCCCGATTGACATCTGGAGTTATGGGATCACCACTTCCTTCCAGTATTTTTGAACTAGGAACTGTTGCTTCTTCTCTCACTTCCAAAGGGATTTGTTCATTACAAGCTTCCAATCTTATCATATCCTCACCGGTTTCCTTCGTTGTTGGAACGTTATGATCGCAATCATTAGCATTTTCAGATAGTACTGAATCGATTTCCATTTTTTTATTCTCATTACTAGTATTGCTGAAATCTTTATTAGTTTTTTTACTCATTTTGGATAAAAATGGTGAATCATTTGAATTTTTATTCGATTTCTTTTCATTTGTTTCATTATCGCCAGTTTCGTTTGTAACATCGCTGCAAATTGATTCCTCAACTAATTTTTCACTAGTTGTAATAGTGTCATCTCTATCTCTGATTATACTTTCACTGTAATTATTTATCTCTACTTGTTTGTTCTCGTTATTCTCAAATCTAACTGTTTCTATAATTGTGTTTGTTTGAGTTGTGGTCGATATGATCTTATCATCTTTAGAAATTACTTCATCACATTTGTATGGTTCTACATCTTTGCTCATATCTGATTTTTTAGCTACACCTACCATCGTTTCTCCTATCGTTAGCGAATTATCTTGAAGATTGATACATTTAGAGAATTCTTCATCTTCAGAATAAGCTAAAAGTATATTTTCAGATTCATCCTCACTTGGTGTTATATCTTTAACAGAAATTGTTCTTCTTCTGTCAGGCTCTATATTTCGTTTATTTATAATTTTGTTAGACAAATCACATGTAACAGTGTTTTCAGATACTGTAGCATTATTTTCCTGAGACGTATTTTTATTTTGCACTGAATTATTTGTATTATTTTCGACAGTATTTGTTTCAGTCTCGGAACAACTGGAATTTCCTATACTTATAACATCATAAGTCTCATAGTTTTCCGACTCACTGTTTGAATCGAAGCTATCCGATATAGCTATAGGTGAATCTTCAAGGTCTGAAGGATCAGGCGAAGATGTTTCGTTTCCTGAATTTAACTTCTCAAGAAGATTAAGTTCATCCCCATAAAAGTCATCACACAAAAGTTGAATATTCTCCTCTTCATTAATATTAGACACCAAATCGACAACTGCAGTTTCAGGGGAAATATCAATTTCTTCTACAATTTCGTTATCCTCGATTTCTTCAACGTCGTCTAACAATATTTGTTCTTTGTTAAAATCATCTGCATTTATAACATCACTTGTGCATCCAACATTAGTAGTGATATTAATTTTTTCCACTAAATTTCGTCCCTCATAATCGATTTCTGCTTCCATTTTATCATCTATTTGTTTACTTTTCTCCACGTCAATAATATCTTGATTTTCTTCATGTATTGTTTCTACTTCATTTTCTTTACTCTCAATTAACAAAGATTCCGTTTCTGGTCCATTCTTATTATCTCCCTGCTGCTCCGTATTGCTTAAATTTATTTTCCTTGATTCCTTTTCATCCAAAAGTCTTTGTAAACGATCCCTCCTTTTTTGACTATCGTCTAATAAATCACTATCATCGTCGATCTCATCATCGCTTTCCACAGGTGAATTATCTGCGTCTTTCTCTTCGATTTCTGTAGGTTCTAAATGTAATTGGTTCTGTTTCTGTGCATACCTGTTAAAATAATTTACATTATTACTCTCCGAAACCAAATTCTTACATTTATTACGAAATTAGGACCTACTTTATATTAATGATTTCTGAGCAAATATAGATCGAGATAGAATCGAATAAAATGCAATATTACTGGTTACTTACTTATTAAGAAGTTCAGTCTCTTTTTTATATGCTTTTTCCTTATTTTCATCTAATTTCTTTTTTAAAGATTCATCCTTTTCAGCTGGATCAAGACCTTGTGTGATCCGGGAAGCCGCTAGCCGCCATTCATTTTCCTGTCTCCGACGTTGCAACTTCTTACCACACCTTGTAAAAAGATCGCGAGCTAAAATTCGAAAGAAAATATTCCAATGACAATCATTTCTAGTACATCTAAATTACTGATACATAATTTCTATACATAAATACCTTCATCCATAATATCAGCTTCATTCCATCCGAGTTTATCTTCGTTATTAGCCTCTCTTACACATTTCATAACATCATGAAAGTCAGGAAAAGGGAGTGTACTTCCTATTGGTACTTTTTTGTTAATCCACTTCTCAAGCTTTTTAGCAGGCCCTGGCGGCTGACCAGGTCGACATTCAATCACAATACGAGGCTCCGTTAACATTTTAGTATCGGTTAATTGGCATAATTTCGCATAAGTCCGCACAAATCTCTCTTTGTACCTGTAATAACATATCTATTAGAAATCATAATTGCCAACCAAACTTTATCGTGACGAAGGGACGATTTTTCACCCCTGCGCAGGATTTCCTCTACCCACAGTGGGCCCCACAAAGTACCCACTTGCGCAAACAAGTGCTAAGCTAACTATGAGCCGCCATTACGTTTGAATTTTGTATTAATAATAAGTATAAAAAATACCTGTCATTTAATAAATATACAGAATCTTCTTCATCGTCGAAATCAACTTCTTGTTCGTCTAATTTGTTTATTGCCCGTTCCAGTTTCTTTAAAGTTTTCTCCAACTTACGAATTTGCACCCGACGTTTACGACTATATTTATCATAATAATCATCTACATCTGAAAAATAATTAGATCGTAAAGCCTAATTGAAGTTATCATTACATGATAGCTGTCGTCCGCGACTCCGTCCGCGCGTTATTAAAATATAACTTAACTATACGTTCTTCCATATGTTTTACATATTTACTTTCTGCAGCTACATTTTAAACAACCATCTATTTAAACTTTCGCATTTATAATATAAGTAAGACTTTTATTTTCTTAATTACATAAGACCACTTGTATAAATAAGAAACCAGTATCACGTATCTGGTACATAAGACAGCTATATTTTTAGTAAAAAGTAAAAAGATGTGTAAAGGTATAATAAATCTTAATTGATCCTATAGAATGAATGTGAGTGCTTTCTAAATATATGTGAAATATTGTATGTTATATGTTCGATATAAATCATATAGCCTGTGTTACAATTAACATAATTTAAACATAGAATTTTATCTTGATTTAAAAAAAAAATACTGATTTACAAATGTTTCACTGATATAAATTTATAGTTATTTCACAAATATTGTAAGAAATATAGAATTAAATTATTAAAAAGTTTAAAATGAAATATTTTAGGATATTAAGCCATTTTGAATACTGAATTTCAACGTTGGATAATAAAAAAAATAGCTCTTTAGCAAACAAACTTTATTCACAAATTATATTACTTTACTACACAAATATTCTTAATAATACATAAATTAATAATGAATGGAATATTGTGAGCTTCCTAAGAATGTTGTTTCAAACACATTTAAAACTTATTATTTTCAAACATATTTCTATTCATGATTAAAACTAATTATTGAATAATTGTAGAGGTTATTTGAATAAAAAAAACTGTACATATTAAAAGCACTCACATCCATAACAAAAAAAATACAGCTTGTTTTTTTTTAAGTAATATCAGCTCTCCTTTCTTTATAGCAACTGGCTGGGAAATACTACATTAAAAGCAAACAGAAGATAACATGTAATTTATGTGAAATTCCATAAATCAATCATCCATAAATCATACATAACCTTTGACTATAAATAATTATAACACTGTGGGTTGGTCACATGAAGTTATTAATATAATAAAATAACAAACATATCTATCCCAGTGGGTATCAGCTGGACTAAATTTTAATAGCTCATTAGCGCCCTTTTATCATTTTTTTTAATATTAAATAAGCTAGCGTTTGACCAAATTCCCAACTAATGTTAAGTGATGTGATCGAAAGATGGTATGTGATAGCTTAGTAAATTGATATTCAATCTACTGTTGAAGGTCCTCACTACTTGGATGGGCAACTACACCGGCAACTTCCTTTGCAGTACGCACAAAGAACGATAATTCAAACATTTTTGTTTAAACGCGTGGTACGTCTACTTCATAAGGATGGAATCCTGCAGTATATCTAATCAACCGATGGTAGAATGGTTATGAGGGATATATATAATGTAATTGTCGATGTCAAAAGTATCAGAAAATTCCACTCATACTGTAACTGTCTTGTCTTCTGTCAATTTCTAGATTATTCAGCAGAATTTACATATTTTCTGACAGAACTTACCATAAAAGCAGCTACTCTCTCACTGGGACAGATAGGTGTATCCAAATATACTTATTTCTACTGAAAACTACAAAAATATACATATTGCACAAAGCCGTGAGTGCCCGTTTCTAATACACTAGTGCAGCAAACCACTCCCAATCTCTTTGAAAAATCAGAGATAATAATATTGTTTGAGCAGTGGAAACACAGTTTAAATATAATAAATATACAATATTTACAACTGAACTCAAAATGCCTAAGTCCTGCTCACGCAACAAATATCAATGACCAAATCTTTAAAGAACTAGCGGTTGCCTGTGACTTCGTCAGTGCAAGAAAGCCTTAAAAAGTAGCCTATGCCCGCATGCATCAGCTACCTTCTCTTCCAAGTTTTGTCAAAATCGTTCCAGCCGTACTGGAGATTACCCAGAACAAACGCAGTGTTGCCAAACATGCAGAGAGAAATTTTAAAAATTGGTTTTTCACTATCAACCACGCAAATTCATCATGTTTAAGAGATATAATTTTTTTTATTATATTACACTCATGCGAGTGTAAATATTTATCATAAATAGTTATCATCTATAAATAACTAAGTTTTGACTGCAAAACATATATAACATACTGGTATCTCTGTTTTCTTCAAAAAGAATGAGGGTCAAGACAACATATTTTTTCATTAAGGTTCCAGTTGGGAAACCCATAATGACATCAAACCAACAGAAGCAAAAGTAAACTTGGGAATATTTTACATGAATAAATATATGCATTATTATTTATACTATTTACCTTCAACTGGATTATTTTCATTCAATAAAGGTGTTGTTTTTTTTCTTGTCCTGTGCAATTTTAATTCATCAACAATATCTTTAATATGCAAGTAAATTTTGAATGATTCAGATTTTATTAATGTTATTTTTGTGGACACCATGTCCAGAAATAGTTCCGATTCAACAAATTCTTTAGGTACTTGTCTACTGTATGTTTTAATTCTTTTCTCAATGATTGTTTTCATATCTTCCGATTTATCTATTTCAAGGCATAAATCCATAAATTCTTGAAATATTGAATGGAATTCACCGGAGCTTTCATTACTAACATGCATAGTATCCTTATTATTAGATTTGTTTTCTACTTCATTACTATTCTCAACTAAATTATCTTTTTTCGGAGATACATCCTTTTGAGTTGTGTCATTAACTTCCATATCAGCTGATGATGTTACAGTTTCATCAACATTTATCTCACCATCTTTGTCCTTTGTTTTTGTTGCATCGGCCAATTCAATCACATCTCTATCTTCTATCTCTTTAGGTTCACTTTCAATCACATTTTCATTGTCTATTTCCATTGAAACTTTAATACTTGTTTCTGCTTCAGGATATTCCAATTTTTTCTTACTATTAGGGCTCATGGGCGTAACTTGTTCACTGTCACTACCAATGTCTGCTTTATTAGAAGATTTATTTATAACTTTAATAGGGCTGTCCTCGATCGTTATAGATAGTGAATCATTTTTAGCTTGTTCTAGTGGACAAGGCTTTACAGGACTATCTTCTATTGTAATTTCTATCATATCTTTCGCTTTAGGTTCGCTATTGTTCTCATCTTCAAGCTCATTCTTTTCCACTTGTTCTTCAGGCCGCATATACCACTGAGCCGGACTACTGTTATCCACAGAAGATGTATTTTCATCATCATCAAGTTCTACAGTAGGGATTTCACCTAAACAACTAAAGGGATTGATATTGTTTATGGATTGTCCAAATATATTATTTGCCAAATCTTTATTAACTCTTATTTTGTTTTTCAACATTCCAATTGGTGAACTACTTCCTCCATGAGTCTTTGTAACTGTAATGCTTGGTGGTAAGCTACTTATTAACTTTGGTGATATCCCTTGCCCTCTTGGCCTTTGACCTCCCGAATTGCAATGTCCAACTTTTGGTTGTTTAAAAGGTATAACTTTTATTGGGTAACTGTTCAGTCTGTTTTCGCTATGCAATGGTTTGTCTGTCATCAGGTTTCGGCTAAGAGACTGTGGTGTTATTTTTTGTAAACATCTTCCATTTGGCTTGTTTTGCCGAGCATTGACATTTGTACGTGACATTGTGATAATTGGTATTTGATTGGGCGCTCTCGATAGTAATTTTCTAGACAGCTTGTTATTATGACATGACACAGGGTTTATTGTGACGTCCCGGATTTTACTGGGAATATGAACCATGGCATTTGGAAGAGGTTTAATCTGCAATAAGGGTTAACAAAATTAACAAAACCTCATAACAAACAACAACATTTAACTGGTATCGGTGTTAAAAAAGCTACTTTTTTAGCTGCCGGAGGTTCAGCCTCATCGTCTGAAGAACCCAACTCAATTACATCTTCAACTTCCATCTTTTAGATCTAGATGCGGCACTTTAGATTGTACTTAATAATACAAACAACTTTCCGCTCTTCATATTGTACTATTTGCAACAATACCTACGCTGAAAAGTTTAGCTTTAAGTTAACACAAAAATCTAATGTTAACAATAATAATTAATTCTAATACGGTAGAAGTAAATCAATAATATACCAAATCTACGATCAATTCAACTACATTGAATTGAAATACACAAGAAATAACTCGACTCAACATTAACATTTGTCAACATCAGTCCAATATTAAGAATAGTGCATCACAGATAATTAAATTTAACTACATAGAATATAAGAATATCTTGGCGTAGCGTGGTAAAAAAGTAAAAGTGGGCGTCACCATCGTTCTGATTCAAGTGGAAATTCTATTAATTTTTTTGTTTCACTTTAAAAAATATTTATCATTGGATATGAATAAAATAATATTTTAAAAAGACTTTTAACAATTATTTTTAATAGCAACATAACACAACTTTCAATCAGTTGAAAGCTGGAAGAATCGGAAACCATCAAGGTGTCAAAATAAATCGTGTCTAGCAATAAATAAATTTCATAAAGTGTATATTGTAGACGTAAGAAAATGATTAAACTATTTTCCTTAAAACAACAGAAAAAAGATGAAGAAGGGTCAGCAAGAGCAGGAGGTTCACAAAAAAAAGCCTCTGCAGCGCAATTACGGATCACGAAAGGTACGAAATACTAAACATTATAATGTCTGATACAATAAAATTATTTCGTATTCATTTCAAAAACTCTTATATTTAAGTTAATATGTCAGAATGAAATAATGTTTTATTTTTAGATTTGAATGAATTAAATTTGCCTAAGACATGCAGTACAGAGTTTCCAGACCCAGATGATCTGCTAAATTTCAAGCTTATAATATGTCCAGATGAAGGTTTCTATAGAGGAGGAAGATTTGTATTTAGTTTTAAGGTAAGTTTGGTCCATTGGTGTTTCTGTAAGTTAAGCAACAGTGTAAAAATAATGGTAAATAGTTGAGGATATACCCTAGAGCCAAGTATGCCCATTCCTAGGGTAGATACATATTAGGGATGTCCAATTGCCAAAATCACCGTTAAGTGGTGCAGGCTCTGAGCCCCTCTGTGGTAACAGCTTAGCTGCTGACAAATAGTACAAAACACATCTTACAACTGCACAGTACTTCCTACACATTGTCTGTGTTAACAATTGATATAGGACTATGAAAAATATCTAGCCACTTAAAATGTATTTATTTAAAACTACCTAATAACAGATAGGCAATTAGCTATTCAGAAATACTATGTTTATTCACCTTAAAAGGTTACAGTTTTATTTATATTTTGTTCTCATCCAAAACTGTCATAATTCAACAAATTGAATATTTTCGCTAAATTCATAAATAAATCTATTACTCTTCTTACATAATATAAATTACCCATGTCATACAATAGTTGTAAGTTAGTAAAGTTGTAATATCAGAAAAAGGCATATTCATGCTATTGTGTATTTTAAAATATAGATAAAATGTGACTTGCAAAGTAATTAAAGAAAAAATCATCAATTTGTGCAATCTTTAACAAATATCCTTAATTTAATTGTGAAATATGTATTTGTACAGGTAGGCCCCAACTACCCTCATGAACCGCCCAAGGTTAAATGTGAAACAGCTGTCTACCATCCTAATATAGATTTAGAAGGCAATGTATGCCTCAATATACTAAGAGAAGACTGGAAACCTGTCCTTACTGTTAACTCAATAGTATACGGACTACAATATTTATTCCTAGTAAGTATTTTTATTAATTGTTTGTTTCATAAAATTAAGACATGTGGTGTTTTTTTTAGCATAAACAGTATATGTACCAGATAACTATCTAATTTGGGATTGCCTATTAATCAAAAGATGTTTTTCTAGCAAATTTTTGACCCCTATCCGTCTGTGTTGGTATGTCGTAAGGTTTCAGACTACCTTTTCCCCATGCCCCATGTATATTTTAGTATAACTCTTACCGCCTTGTAATGTTTGATCTAGGAACCCCTATGGAGCATCACATGACTATTGGATGATCTCATACATATATCTTAAACAAATAATTGAACCTTATATTATTATAGAAATATTATTTTAAACAACAAATTGTACAAAGAACAAATTATATAATATGTATTGATAATTTATTTTCTGTGTGGTTAATGTATAATATAATTATTGATAAATATTTGGCACCAAACGTCGTTTATAATGTATTGAAATTTCCAGGAACCAAACCCTGAAGATCCCTTAAATAAAGAAGCAGCAGATGAGCTACAAAGCAATCGAAGACTGTTTGAACAGCATGTGCAGCGTGCGATGCGCGGTGGCTATGTAGGTGCCTCATACTTTGAAAGGTGTCTCAAATGAAACAAGTCCGTCACTGTAAATCAATGCTCCGAACTCTATATAAATAAATTAATAATCTCATTTCATAATTGTAATTTATTGTGAATTCGATTTTTTTTTACAAATTCTAACATGAAGTTCAATAATTAAAATCTAGATGGCGACACTTTATGCCCTTAAGTTTAAGAAATAAAGCAAATATTTTCTTTTATAAAGGATTACAATAGCTATTAAACTGAAATGCATGTGAAATAATGTTTTATTTGTTTATTACTTGCTATTGACATCTTTTATTTGATTAACACAGCCTTTAAATTTAACATGATGCAGTATGTTTTACTGATATTTTACAATAAAGAAGAAGACCGAAGTTACGGAAGAAAGCCGAAGTTGTAGGTACCATTTTTATAAATTTAACAAGCGAAAGAATTCAAACTGCGTGCTAAATATTGATAGTATTGCAAATTAATTCACTAAAGTGTACTTTTGTAGTGTCTGTTAAATAACAGCATATAAAAAACCTGAAATAAATTTCCCAAATGTTATTTTGAAGTTTTAAATTCCTCAATGAAAAAAGATGAGACACGCTAGTGTGAAGTGAGTTGCGGCTCGGGTTGGCGCGGGGCGGCGGGGAGCGGTGGCAGTGGCCAACGGCGGCAGGCGGCCACCGCGTGACGTGAGTCAGTCTCTGCGGGCAGGGCAAACGAACGCGGCGTTGCGCCAGTGTTCCTCCGGACGGCGAGCGGTTCGCATGTTTCCACGTTAACACGCTTTCTCCATTAGTGCATTCGAGGCAGAACAGTGTCGACACAACCGAATGGTTGCGAAAGTTTGCGCGATGATATATAAGTGAGAGCCAGCATCGGACGTCAGGGTAACGCTCATCGCACACGGTGAGCCAGTTTATTCAACTAAAGACATTCGAAACTCGCCAGCTGTGAGGGACGGGGGGCGCCAGACGCCGTCGGGTCGTACACGCGGGACCAGCCATTCCTAACACATACTATACTTACTTTGAGAGAGAAACGGAAAGCATTTTTTAATGTGTCAAGTCAGTATAGCATATTGCTGCTACGTCAGATCGCAGAACGCCTCGAGCAAGAACTACAAGGTTATGCAAATGAGTTCTGAACGCTTCTATACCAGGGGTAATCTAAAGACCATTCACAACTTTAATAAACTTTAACGATTACGTTCGTAGTACGGTGTTTAGTGCTTATCTGTATCGTTTTCCTGTCTTTATATTATCGTTCGGTGTCGCGATCGCTAATTGCTAATTACCTGGAGCCGAGTGATAAGGAGTTTGAGTGAGTGGTCGCGGAGGCCGGAGCACCAGTGCAGCGAGTGCAGTACTACACGAGCGACAGCCACAGCCGACGCGGACGATGGCGGCTACGCAGGAGGAGACTTTACTGTCGCGGTGCGAAGTCCCCATCATCGACCTTGCACATATTGGTAAATATCACAATGAAATCATTATTATTGTTTCCTAGATTGCACACAGCATGGAGTTCTTTAAACCTAACGGTCGATCCTAATTCTACGGTTCGAAAGCTTTAAAAGTAAGCACAAAGGAACGGAAAGTCGTTTACCTGCGCGCATCCCCAATTATAGGTGGTTGAGCGAACCCGACAGGCAACCGACAGCTGTAAAGCGGTCTATAATGTATTATTTAATGCACAAATTATACCTCATTTGGATCCCAACATAGTTCAGAGCCTCACAATTGAACGTCAAACATCAAAGACCCTGACACCTGAATCTCTTGCGTAAATCAAAGAATTTTAAATGCATTTCATTATTTACCATAAGTCTAGACGCATACGACAGCAAGATGATTATAAACTCTGAATACACTGCAATGGTGATGAATATTAGGGATGGGCGTTGATTCAACGAACGGTTAGTTAATCCGTTGATCACTATTCAATGTTTCAACCGTTGACAGTTTGCATTTTAACTAATTGAATTCAAAGCAAAACGTAGGATTCATTGATCGTCTTTCTTCTCTCTGCCAGTCTTTGTGTCTTTGTTTATTGAATGTATTGATTCAACTAGTTTTCCACTAAAAGCAAATTAAGCCTTTCGTTTCATTAACGCCAATATCGTCTTGGACCCATCCCTAACGAATCTACAAAGCATTGTTTACGTTGAATAGTAACACAAAGTTTTGTCAGAGCAACAATAGAAGTTATTAGGACACAAAATTTATATAAATATACAAAAAATTACAAGTTGTCGTGTATTTATACAATATTCCATCAACAATGATTGTTTTTACATAAGAAACAAACACCTGTCACCTAGGTTCTCACCCATGGGAACGAATAATTAAACTGAATTTTTAGATCAGGCTGATTACAAAGCACAGACGTGCCTCTAAAATAATAGGTTCTTGTATTTCCTTTATATTTTCCTTAGCTATCAAGATTAAAGGAAACAATAAATATTTAAATATAATATTTTTTTTAATAAACTTATCTACTGATTAAAAAATCACGTGAACATATCTTTCGATAAAATAAAAAAAAACTACAAATCCAAGAATCATCGATCAAAAAGATTATGTAGTGATAAATAATATTGATAAAGCACATTTGGTATTTTTTTTAAAAACAAACGTAATACATTTCAATGTTATCTATTCATGTACCATAAAAAACAAATCTACACTAAGGCACTCACTAAGTTGCCAGTAAGCAACTTAGTAACAATATAACACGAGGAGTAGAAATAAGTTTAACTTTGAGGGCAATGTCCGACCAATTCTTTGTAGCTCCCGGTTTGAGAACGCAATTACATACCCGAGTCAATCTCACTCCTATTATAAATACCTATTCTTAACGATATACGACCAAGGTGTCATTTACCTCTTTACACATAGTAAATTAAATCTACAATACAAAAACACGCTCGTAAAACTATGTTTATCCCATCAATCAATGTAATTTTTAGCCGACTTCAAAAAGGAGGAGGTTATCAATTCTCTGTCTGTCTGTATGTTTTTTTATGTGTGTTACCGCGTAACTCCGCCCCTGATGCTCCGATTTTGAAATATTTTTTGATCGATTTTTTTCGTAAAAATTTTCGTAACGCATTTTTAACTTAAACTCAAAATCTACTAAACTTCTAGTGAGTTTGGAAATTAATAAAAAAATGAGACCCACGTGCTAGCAAAACCTTTTGATCAAAAAGAAATTTCAAGATCGGAGTATCAGGGGCGGAGTTACGCGGTAACACACAAAAAAAGAACATACAGACGAAGTGATAACCTCCTTCTTTTTGAAGTCGGCTAAAAATTATAAATGAATCCAAACCACAAACTCACGGTCGAGAATTGCGATTCAATTGGATTTCCCAATATTTGTCCTTGTTATATTCTTTGGTAAACAAAGGTTTGTTTTTTACACGTATTTGTATATTTACGACTAAAGATCTTTATGCCTGACATTGTTTCCATGAAATGAACATTAATCTAGCATATCTCTTGTTTCACACGAAGATGTTAAGATTACTTTTTATAGACATCAAGTATACGAGTACAATCACTTCTTATTACGTCTATTTCCACCAACAAGGTTAAATGTACATCTAAAAAATGTTAATGTTTTTTTCAACTTTATATGGCAACAAGATTATTCTGCCGTAATTTTTTATCAAGTTGACGATATGTATAAGATATCGGAGCATGCTGTATTTCATCTTACCTAAATCTTATCATGTCTCCATTTATGATAAACATATCCATAATGATTACATAAGTTGCTACTAATAAAAGCGTTTGAATATAGCAACCAATGCGTGAACATTGCGAATTCGGGTTGTTCAAGAAGCAAACCTACCTTCTTTCAAATGACGGCACCGCAGCAGGGCTATACAGAGTGCATTATCCCCAAAGCGATTTCGTAACGATCTCCAAAAATGTATAGAACTGACAATAATTTTCGATAGTCACGCGATTGTCGCGCGTCAGTTCCATACGTGTTTGAAGTTCGCTATGGAATCGCTTGTAAGCGAATGCTCTTTGTCTAAGCCCGCTGCTGTTCTCTGCTGGTGCAAGTGCATCTGTGATATCTGAAACCTTGGGTTTCTAAGACAAACAGAAATTTTGGTAGCAGTCATTAACAGTGACCTAATGCTCGGTACGCCCTCTATATAAAAAAAAGTTATTGGCATTGACATTTTCCTTCCAATTGACCGCCAACTCGACGTGCAAAGTATCATAATCCTTGAATATCTTGGTTCCTCTATAGCTGATTATATCTATAATTTCTGTCGACACATACTCGAATGACTTCAAATGCAATAGTTCAATAAAACTATATAAAACGGACGAATACATAAAATATGGGTCAATATACCGATGACAAGTCCATGACTGTTCAATTAACGCTGTGCAAAACTCGTTGCGAAAGATAAACTATGACTTACTGTCTGTTAAAAAGGGAAAATATACAGTTATTATTTATCAATAATTTACCGACATTTTGACGTCACCTGATTCCCAGACGATAAATCCGATATCAAATAAATGGGAACGCCCCTTTATTAAATAAAAAAACTTTGGTTAAAAGAGTATTATTTTCTTCATTAATTAAAATTACTCAATAAGTTACTCTATGTATTTCAACTTGCTAGAATTTTCGTTTATAATGTATGATAATTAATTAAAAGTATGAATAATATTTTACCGGTAATCAGTGACTGGTTTTAGTTACGACGTATGCGAATATAAATTGTACAATTGGTAAACGATTGTAATTAGTATTATATAGGATGTGACGTCATTGCGCAAATTATCGTCATTTTGCAATTTACGATGATTTCTCAATAGTTATTACCAACGACATATGTTGGCGTGAATTATAATTAAACTTTATTATGCAAATAACAATGTAAATTGCAATATAATTATAGATCCGTGAACATACGACTTGAAACTCTATGCCCTGTACTTAACTTTTTATGGACTAGCTTATTTCGTGCGACAAGAAAATAATTATAAAACAGGTTTCTTTTGTAAATAAGATAGAAGAATCTGTGCGAATCAAAGATATAAAATAAAAAGTAGCGACTACTTTATACGTTTATTCCAATCGCGTTTAAGCCTAATTATAAATACCGGTCGGTGTAACATAATCTTTGTGAACACAATTTAGCTGTAAACGAGTCGCACTAAACGTGGGTTTTCGACGCCAATATCCCCGTTTAAAACATATTCTTATCTCTGTTTTGTCAAAGATAATGAAAGGGATGACGATATGTTTTATACAGATATTTTGGTATCAGAAACCCACGGTAAAACATTCTAATTAACTGTGAACGATATATTTATAGGAACGATGATCGTCACTACAAAAAATGTTACGTGGTCGTCTCCGTCACCAGACAGAAACCGTAATGTGTGCCGTTGCTTCCGCGAAAATTACAAGTTTGTTTTTCGTTTTATCTCTTCATGTCGTACTCAAATGTCCACGAAATCGGTTAGTCGGCCATCTGAGTTTAGGCTTTTACACATACTTTTGCCGAATGAAATGAGGAAGAACTTTTGTCAAACTGACTCATTACAGGTCATCACTGTAATGTTTTTTGACACACTTTCTATAATGTAAATTTTACATAAGAAATACGCAGTTATTAACAGATTACAGACGATATTTTATGTCGTTAATAAAGCTATCGCTTTATTCTATGGCCAATATTTTGATAAACCATTTTGTAATATAGAAGACATGGTGTACCCACATAAAGTAGGATTATTCCATTCAAATTAATTTTGACTTCGTTGACGTTAAAATTTTAAGACTGTTCTTAAGAGGATTCAGTAAACCAATGAGAACAATGTTGATTGTCTTGACCTGAAAAAAAAACAATTTTAAGGAATGCGTCGATTTAAACTTGTTTTGGCGAGCAAATCACAAAACCGTATTGCAGACATTTTAATTGTTTGATATGTGATGTTACAATTAAAATGGCGTAGATACCAAATGTAAGTAATTAAAAATATTTTAAGTAATTTAGTTGATTGATATCAACATTCTTCTAAAACTGCCGAAGGAAGTATAAAATTAAGAATCTCACTTTTATTTATTGTTGTAAAGAAAATAATTCGGATCGTTATAAAAATTCATAATCACATGTTCCTTTACCTCCATAAAAAGGTAACCTGACTTTAAAACACAATCACGACACGTACTGCAGAACAAAGTTTGATGCGTAGTTTCACCTCATGTCGTCATGTCTAACCTGCGTGGTAATAACTCCTTGCACGCGAATTAGTTCAATGGTAACGTTAGCTTTGCTATTCAATTTGATCTCGGTAATTACGCGATGATTGTATTCTAGGAAAACCTTTGCGTGTAATCAAAAATGCTGGAATTATACCGAAGTTTCCGCATGCGACAGATGTTACTTCAGTCTACGTCACTTTTAGTGCAGTTATTTACACTTGGTGG